ACTCCTTTCCTCCGTGAACTGCAACACAAGTTCCTCTTCGTCCATCGTGCATGTATCACTCGTCGAATGCTGTTTAGGTATTAGAAGTGTCGTGACGACGTACTTGTGACCCTTGTCCTTCCCGAGCAGCAACCACACGTCTCCCGGTTCATCGTTGTTTGACTCGAGCAATGGCTAGGAACCGAGGGAGGCATTCTCGGGGAAGATTGACGGTCTTCAGTATGGGCGACGGGTCGGTTGGATTGGCCGTGCGGGTGATACGCTCTGATTCCGAACGATTATGGGCCGGGGGATTGGACGGTGCTGGGGGCGGGGGAGGCGCTGGAACGGGTGGGGGAGGCCGTGATGGTCCAGGTACTGGGGGTATTGTGGCTGATGCGGTGGTGGATATTGTTGTCCATAAGGTGCTGATATGGAGGTTGCTTGATGTAGACATTCCTGGGTAACTACTAGGGGGAACAGATGGCGGTGGAAGCATATTTGGAGGGTACAGTGAATGGTTTCCAGCTGGCTGGTGGGCGCGGGCGCTTCTGGGTTGAACAGCAGTGACGACGGAACTGGCGGTTGGGCGTTATTCGCCGTCGGTATAAACATAGAATTAAGCGAGGGAAAGTACCCCTGAGTCTTTTGGTGCTGGGACATTAGTTGTGGGTATAAAACACGGCCGCCACCTTCAAATGGTGGAGGGGACGTTGTCGTGATGGGAGGAGGATACGAAGGGCTTGAACGCAAGAATCAGCTCATGTTAGTAACAATAAATAATATGGCCCACATACCTCCTTGCTGGCGCGCGCGTCGGCGTCTTATGATGATCAGCAATATGGTTCTTTGACTTCATCGTACGGCGCCAATCAGAATCGTGCACACTTTCAGAGTCTGTAGAATCGCCTTCGTATCGTGTAGGACTTTCTAAAGGCATCAGAGCAGGTTCCACCTCCCTTTCCATAGAATATTGAGGTATGGATTGCGGGGGGCGCAAATCAGCAGCAGAAGGAGTGCGAAGTGATGCAGAGACAGCGCTGTAAATATTTGATGGTGGCGTTGTCTGGTAGAAGGAAGATGCGGGTGTGGTTGCCAAAGAAGATGAGGGTGGATGATATATCGAGGATGCTGATCCATAGCTACCAATTGAGGCAGCCGAGGACGCTGCTGATAGAGAACTGCACCTGAGCTACCAGACGCGATGTTGTTTCTGATGGCACGAGCGGCAAGTCAGCTTCTCGTTGTCGCTGCACGATACCGTCCTGTTCCTGGCGCCTCTTCTGTTCCCGCTTTTGTGATCTGATATCCTCTTCGCGTTTCCTCATTTCCTCCTGTTGCATCTCATGCCGGGTGTCAGCCATCGTGCTCGATTGTGTTGTGGGAGCCTTGAGAATGTGTAGTCCGAGCCAACGTTGTTAGCGGGGGGTTCGCAGCGCGGTGTGCGGCTGCTACTGCGGCTTCCCTGCGCCTATCGTAAACATACGCAGAAGCCCCACTTGCTGCTCTCTCCCTTTCTTCCTGCCGCGCATTCGCCTCTCGCTGCTCCCTCCACCGCGCTAGTTCATCAGCTACAGTCCTCTCCTGTCTTTCCTGCTCCTCCCGAGCCCGCCTCGCATTCTCTTCAGCTTGCTGCTGCTGTCGACTGGCTTCCTCATGTATCGCTTGGCCCCGAGGCGGTCTCGCTTCTGGTGTACGCTGATCTTCCACCCCATTTGGATGTTGGGCGAGCCATCGCTCGTAGCGTTCGACCAGCGTCGGCTTTAAGTCCCCAAGGTTGTCAAGTATATCCTGGCCGTTCTATCCATTAGATGTCAGCTCGTAAGCTCTGAAAGGGGCATTTAATTATGATACAAACCAGACCTAGATTATGGCGTTGCGAAGTGTTTAATACCGTATGATAATCCCGATGCGACGGTATCCGTTCCAATACGAGCGTAGCAGCTCTGGCAAACTCGATAAAGCACTCTCGAGATCACCCTCACGAAGTAGCTCTTTTCCATCCCGCCGATATTTCTCGGCCAGTCGAAGGTAATACTTCAGATCTCGGTTGTCGTCCCATAGACTTTCGAGGGCTCGCTCTGCGAGTTCGGCAATCGAGGCGGGGCGCCTGGACGGTGAGTTCTGCTGGTATTGTTGGCGAGAATTAGAGTTGTAAGGAGCCGAGAAACTCATGGTGGATCACTGGGAAAGGAGCAAGTAGATCCATATCGAGCTTTACTGCGGTATGGTTTTGTTGTATGACCCTCACGTGGCGTAGCAGTTATCCAGAAAACACGAATCAGTCGCATCACTAGGACAGCCTCAGCATAATTCTCCTGAGTGTGTTTCAGTCAAAGCGTTGTTGCGAAATAAAATAGAATTGGTTCCAAATCCGAATCTATATTCGAAATCCTAGATAAATACGAGTTGATACCAGTTATTTCCGTACTGCTCGCAGCTCAAGTTTCAACACAGGTCAAATTACTCTCGTATGTGTCATTCTCGTTTAGACTTCGTAATTAGGGGCATCCAGGGAGCACTACCCTTCCCAAGCGTCGCCTGTGCTTATCAAACCCCAATGTTGAGGCCAAATTTCTCGAGATCCTTAACAGTGAGGCCGCCTGGTATTTGGATGAACTGCAGCCACGGAACCGGAAGATTGAGTAATGATACACATGCAAGTAATGACCAAACATACCGGTTCGCGGAATGGGTTTGATGTCACCTCCGTAACGTACTAATGAAGAATGACAGGATTAAAACAAGAGCACTGCGCACTCAAGGATGCAACCCACATCGCGAGCGTGGCACATGTCTCCGCCACTAAGTCCAATATGGGAGCAGTGAACATCCGGACGCAAGGGCACCTGGAATGGACGCGGTGGTGAAGAAGGGAACTCGGGGAAGCTCTCGAAGTAGCTTACCATCGCTTTATGGAGATAGCGGCAGATTCCTGTTCATTAATGAAATTACCCCATTGGAATTATCCACTAGGGTCATATGAGCACCAACCGGAGTTTTGCCCCGCCTGCCATATATCACCAAATGGGATACTGTGAATAAAGCTCATGCACTCGGCAGTTGAATTATATTGCAAGTTCGCCCCCACGCAAAATTGCTCGTGTGCAGAGCAGATATCGAGTGCAGCTCGGGTCGTGATTAATGAGACGGGATCAGTGTCCGGCGGCATGTTAAGTTCGGCGGCGAGTTGTGGCGCCAATTTTGGGAGGAGTGTAGGGAACACCCAGCTCGAGCGGACAAGCTGTGAATCATATTGTGTAACTTTTCCATCATCGTCAAACACTGCCGGGGATTTCAATTTTCGTGTCAAAAAGTCCCGGATTTAACCTACTAAAAAAGACGTTAAATTGAACTGGAATAATTTCGACGGTCCAATTGAAAGCCACAATAAGGGCTGCTGACAGGGTGTTTCCTTGGACTATGAGTTCCCTAACACGATATGGTGAGAACGGGCCATAAAATGTACCATATTACACACGAAATGGTTTGGTTAAGCGGCACTCCAATCAAGCTTGTAGTTTTCGATTGCCCGAATTGCGAAAACATCCCGAATAAATACTAGCAATTAGGTTGATCATGACTGGAATGAAACTAGTAGTAACCAGAAAAAGTTACCTCCGTGTTCAGTTCCGCACCTTAATATGATTAGCACAACACGCTCGATCATGGACCCACCACACTTACCAACGAAAGTGGTCGTAACTAAGATATATCGTTAGACGGGTGTGGGATCGTGATGGGGAAACCTACTGTCAACCCGGCCGACAACATCAGGATGCAATGCGGAATAGTTGATGCTTTGTGCGATCTCATTGACCCGCGGGAAAGACCAATCCTGCCAGCGGTGGCTGGATGAGCCTCTAAATATAGTATGACCTCTTTCGCTGACCTTATTGTACTGGCGAAGGAAACCCAACATTTGGGAGAGCGTCGGGTCCCCCGAAACGATGGGTAGGAGGCCAAACGCAAGGGCGAGAATGGGCAAGATCATGATTGCACTGATGAACAAAGGACCAGGAGTCGCGTTTTATTTGAATTCGCAGAGTGCAAATCCGACAACACCGGCGCTGATGACGCTCGTCACTCCAGATTCCAACTACATATTGACTTTCTAATAGTTGATGAGGAGTGGGCGAAGCCTTCGAGAATTCTGATGGCCAAAACAATCAATCAGACCTGGAATAGATTTGGTATCCAAGTCCAGGTCTAGCAAACAGAGTTTCTGGCATCCGCTTAGTAGAGGGGCTATGGTGACCCTGCTGAGGACGAGGGACCAGTCCTCAGGAAGTGGGCATAGTAGCCCATCACCATACAATCCGGGGAATTGTTAATGGGATAGCTCTGGGATGGATGGCCAACAATAGCACATTGATAGATCCCAACACCCAACGAGCCCGAATAATCAGTTGGAAGTATACCTAATGATCCTGATCTCGCCAGGTGTAATTATACACCGGAACGCGTTGCACCGTGGGCACGATTGCCTGAACGTAAAGTTGGCCGCGAGATGTCATCTTGCGATAGGACTGGGGGCATACTGAGGCTGATGCAAATGATCATGACGCTGAGGCGGCCAGGAGTCGGCGGGAGGAAGCCGACTCGGAAGGGTCAGATATAGCTTGTGGCTAGTAGGAAGTGAATGATGTATTCCCAGGAGTGTCGTCAAAGATTGAATGAAACCCCGATCGTACGTGGATTTTAGAACGACCACCCATGTTGAACCAAGCAAGTTGACGTCATCATATGCATGATAGTCTGATATCCTCGGATGTTGTACCTGCGTACTACGAGATTATGGCCCATCATGATTGGCGAGCGCTCGCACAGAGTCACATAAACATAACAAGCTGGCATCGGGCCGTCACTCCTTGATTTTTGTGAGGGCCTTGTAGGACGGTGCCCAGCTTGGCGACGAGGTTTTTATGTGGGGTTAAGATTCCAAGAAAATGCAGCTACGACTGGCAGTGATTGTTTTTCGCGTTGATGAGTCATGGTGGTCAGAGACAAAAGCAAAAAACGGGGCCAACCGGGACTCGAACCCAGGTCACTTGCAATTTTTGGTTGCCCAAAGCAAGCATCGTACCTCTGGACCATTGGCCCGCGAGATAGGGGCACCCCGAGGGCAACACAAGGCTCCTTTGACGTTGTACGAGTTAGCGAGAATATGTTAATACTAAAAATAGTCCTTCAGCAGCCAGCTCACTCTCGCCGAGCAACAATTCCACACAAGCAAAGAGGACCCCATCAACCCAAATTGTCCGAACCAATTGAATACAAGCGGCTCAGCCATGTGATTAAACCTATCCTCTCACCACCCCAACCGTCACTTCTGCTGCACGCGCACCTGCCCCCGAGCCTGTTTTTGAGGCGGGCCCTTCGAGAGCACCAACACACCTCTCCCACGCCCATCGCGTCAGCTTTAGCACATCATCGTCACACAAATCGTCCTTCACATGGAGCTCGAGCGTCACCACGAGGTCCTCTGATGTGCCGGGGCTACTGGTACCGCTTCCGTACAGAAGGGAGGAAGGGACGACGGTGTCAGTTGCCAGATGTGTGGTGCAGGTAGGTGGAGAATCTGCGGATGCCTTTCGAGCTGTGAAGAATGGGTGGTGAATGACATAAATAGGGTATTAATTTCGTTACCTCACGCATTACCCGAGGAAGGCTCCATCTTGCCACCAGCAAGACCCCGTCTCGGTGCAGTCTGGAGAAGGACAGTCCGAGAACATGCACGCCCTATACGCAACGTTCGATGTAGCAATTGTGATAAGCGCCGCAAGGATAAGGTCGCTTATACGGTGTGTGATCTATAAATGCAAACTGGTTGTCCAAATGTGGAGAGTTTGGAGAACACGAACCCAGGATTCCAATCCAAACGCCGAGAATGCTCAATGATATTCCGATAGGTATCACGACAAAAGGGTTGCGGACAACTTTTCCCAATGACGTAGTGGGTGGTGGATCTGAATGTTGGTGCTGCTTGCGCGACCGGAGTAAGGAGCGTAATGGGGGGACTTGAGTTTCCGTGACTAGCAAAGAATGAGGATGTGAGGAGTCGCTAAGCCGGTCACGAACCAGTGACAAGTTTTTCATGGTTTCCGAATTTTAGAGCAGAAACCAAGAGCGTAACGAGCGTCAAGCACACTAAAATGATAGGGAAATCGATTCTAGGGTCTGTATTAGTTGGGGTTGGAAACCATTTTACTGGCGCGTACCCAGAGACTTCTCCGAGATCTGCATCGAGCGGCCGCCCGTGGTGATGGTGATGGCCGTCTCCATCGTGGCCCGCACTGAGGAGAAGATGTTCCACGGTCTCCTTACATATGTATACCGAAGAGAACATGAGATATACCACTTGGGCGAACATCATGACTGTTTCCACCCGCGCACTCCTTCCTTGATGTTAGGCGATTATCCGAGTGGGGGACTAACTGCACGTACCCAAAAACCTTTTGCCTGTCCCTTTTCGCTATCTCGTCCCAAATCCCACTCCAGCGCTCGACCATATCCCAAACGCGTCAAATACAACCCAATACCCGAGCCCCGTGCACGAGAGAGATCCGTTCTGCTGCCCGGACACCCAGAGCCACGAGCCAAGCACGAATTGGATATCGCACTTGCCTTGCGCTCAGTTGCGCCCCTCCGGTGGTCAGAGTGTATTATTTCCTGCTGCGCGATACCGTTTTGAGTTTGGGTCAGCCTCTGTGCTGCTGTTGCTGCGGGGCGCTCGCGGAAGCGGGGAACGGGGATATCGGCTGCCATGGGTCGCAGGAAGGGATGCTGGATCATGATCATCCCTACCATGAGGCCCCCCAGGTTCCAGGAACGAGAAGAAGTTGTGGGACATGGAGTGTTTGTGGTGATGCCCCCTGCGAGAGGTGGAAGTGGAGGAGAGGTAGAGGATGCGGTCGTTGGGTCGGCGTCCATCATTGGGGGCATGGGCATGTTGACGGGGGGCGTGCCCCAAACGTGAAGTTGGCGCCGAGAGGTGTATGAGGTCCTTCGGGTCCGCCCAGGGAAGGAGACAGTGGGACTAGCAGATGGGATAGGAATATGGTTCTCCTCGTCGTGGTTAACACGGACTTCGATTTCCTGGGCATCCCCATCCTCTGATATTGTATTTGTGAGCGGCAGGGAACCCGGCCGGGGAAAGAAACAGAAAGGTTGCGAGAGTGCAGCCGAGAGTGCCTGCGTGTATGGGCAAGGGACTGCTTGGGAGATAATGGAGGCTGTAGGTGCGTTGGACTAGACGCATCCGGCGTTGACTGGGATGTCGAAATGGGGAACGTGGGCACAAGCGGGGAGACAGTTGGAGTGGATATTGACCTCGTTCGTGAGTGATTTGGGTGATGTGTCGAAAAGGAAGAACGGAAGGGAGATGAAGGGTGTCCATTCATACCGTTCGGCAGCAGTGGTGGTGGTCGGTGATTAACATTAAGCTGGTACGATATGGTCCCGCGGACGGTGGGAGAGTCGGTGATTGGGCCGGAATACTGGGAGATGAAGGTATCCCGGAATGGTTATGATAATGAATGGGTGTGGATTGTACGCGGCCCCGGGGTGGTGGAGGTGCGCCAACTGCCACATGCGGGAGGACCCATTCGTTGCAATTTCGCTGGCGGGGTAACGACAACTACACCATCGTCCTCCTCCCTAGAGGACTTTCGGCGATGCAAGTTTTGTTCCATCACGAGTGAGTGTATTTGGTAGGGAATGTGCTCGAAATATGAAGGACGAGTGGCTGGTTGGCCTCGAGAATAATCAGACCAGGTAGAGACTGGGTTTGCGATAGTAAGTGCGCCAGTTGAAATTTAAGTAAGAATCAGAGTCCTGAACGATAACTGTACTTGAAGCTCGAAGGTTGGACTCGGGAGCCGTCTCTATCATCCAAGGGACTCAACGTGTGTCGCTGCTGCCAGTGGACGCTTGGGATTATTTGGATTGTAGAATGGGCCTCCAATAGCCTGAGCTGGAATAAGATCCTCTGTTCAGAATCATTTGTGAGTGACTAAAAGGCCTAAATACCTTGACACTGTTCTGGCTCGTCAATGGCCTACAAGTAGTCCAGAGTTGTTCCGTGAAGTCGCTGTAAAAGTCTACACCAAAAACGTACCGCCACGTGATGCATTTGCTCCCGCGGGCCGCCAATACCACTAGTGGGGGGTGGCAACTAGACTCTTTTTTTTTTTTTTTAATCAGGTGACATTTTTATACCGCTCCCGATAGGGAGTGAGCGGTGTCTATGTACGACTACACAGAGGGAGGATGAGCGATGAAACTACTTAGAAAGGCCGTGATGTAAATACTGCGTAACCTACATAAAGCCTAATGATGGCGTGTGTAACCTGTGGGAAATTGCACCAAGGGGTCTGGGTAAGAGATGGGGAGCCGGATGAGGGACTATACTAGAATATAAGAAAATATGGGGGGGGACATGCTAGTCCAATCGCCTGTGCCATACATCTTCGGGTCATACAAACATCAGGAAAAAACACTTGTCTACATAGTTCTATGTAGACGGGATAGCCGCCATATACCCATATACAAGTCCCCTGTTATGTAGCACTTATACAGCACATATAGAACTATATAGCACTATATAACTGGTCATATACCGTCATATACTATATAGACGCCTGCCATGACTATGTAGACCCCATAGACCGTATAGACATTAATTGTATATGGCTTCTTGTGTAGTACAATAGCTCTCATAGACATGTATATACATCATAGACCTCAGCCATGACTATAAAGACTACATAGACATTGACAGTATATAGGATATTGTGTAGTATGGTGGCTCTCATAGACCTGTGTATACATCATAGACTTCAGCCATGACTATAAAGACTACATAGACATTGTCAGTATATAGGATATTGTGTAGTACTATAGCTCACATAGGTACATATAGACACCATGGACACACTCATGATCAGACAGTAATATTGTTCCGAAACATGCATTAGATCAAATTTTTCAAAGCCCTACAACAAGAGCCATGTAATTAATCCTTGTATACCTCATCTGACTCTGATGACTCATGTATATAGTCTCTATCTTGTTGCATTGCCTCACTATATGCTGAAGCTGGGATGATGGGGCGAGGATCATCTGGTTGTGGGTCCACACCAGCTCCAATCCTAATATATTTAGAATTAATAATGAATAACAAAAATAAAATGTAACCCACAAAGCTTTCCGGTATAACCTGCGACGAAGCCTATTACATAGGTCATGCTCCTTGGTACCAGCCTCATACTTGAGGAGTAAGTCAACATGGGTCATATACACCGTACGATATTCACTGCTTTTAAACGTGAGGTCTTTTTTGATGCCGGTGCGCCACATGTCAATCCCGAACTCAATCTGGTGAAAAATGCGAACTGAGGAACATAACACATCAAACATAACAGTGGCACTCACCACTGTAAGAACAAAAGCAATGGCCTGCATCGGGAGCATGCCATTATGCCCAAATACCTGAGGATATCGAACACCTTCATCCTCCGCATCCGTGAACCATAGAGCATTGATGCTCTTCTGGATGATGATGTTATAGTATAAGCCTTCGTTTTCGTCACCAATTGACTGGGAAATATTAGTAGGCACGCGCGCAAGGATACCCTCACCTACTTGATATAAGAACCCTTTCCCATTCTTGAGAGCTGCAGCAAGTTCGCGATTGGCGGAGATGATTCGGGGCTTGCGCCTACTGTCGAAGCCATAAACTGATTCGACGAGCGGTATAATTTTTGTTTTGGCTTCGCCGCGAATTTGGGGACCACGTCCTCGAACCTCAAGTAGTAAGGGTTAGTGTGTAGAAGGCATGATATAGGTAGACTTACTACTCGAAACATGTTGTAGTCCATTACCGTGAACTCGAGGTCCTTAATTTCGAACGCGTGCTCCCATGCATGCTGTACAAGCCGAGCCTCGTCCTCCCGGAGTGGAAACATGTTCTCCGTGGAAAGAAGGCACCTGTAAATTTCATTAGCTAACCCAAGAATAAGCTGCTCCATTGATGCATAATCTCCAGCTTTCGGGCGCCCTTTCTGTTTTGTTTTGATGTACCTTGAAGCCACTGGTTGGTC